TATGTTTTGTGGGTGGTTGTCAGGGTGTTGCTATGTGGTTACAAGATTGTGTTGGGTGGTTGTTAAGGTATTACTAGGGTGTTGCTAGGTATTAGATGTGGTTTCCAGGGGGTTGCTATGCAGTTACTATGTGTTCTGGGTGATTGTTAGTTGCTGGATATTATGGTAGTTGCTAGGGAGTTGCTATGTGATTACTAGGATGTTTTTAGTGGTTGTTAGGGCGTTTCTCTTTATTGTGGTCACTAGGGAGTTGCTATGTGCTTAGAAGTTTGCCCGATGTGGTTGTTAGGACTTGGCTAGAGTGTTGTATGTTTTGTGGGTGGTTGTTGGTGTGTTGCTATGTGGTTACAAGGTTGTGTTGGGTGGTTGTTAGGGCATTACTAGGGTGTTACTGGTATTTAGGGTTGTTGTGAGTGTGTTGCTATGCAGTTACTATGTATTCTGAGTTGTTGTTAGGGCACTGCTAATGTGTTGTTGGGTATTTTGAATGGCTAGAAGGGGGTTGCTATGCAGTAACTATGTGTTCTGGGTGATTGTTAGTTGCTGGATATTATGGTAGTTGCTAGGGAGTTGCTATGTGATTACTAGGATGTTTTTAGTGGTTGTTAGGGCGTTTCTCTTTATTGTGGTCACTAGGGAGTTGCTATGTGCTTAGAAGTTTGCCCGATGTGGTTGTTAGGACTTGGCTAGAGTGTTGCTGGGTATTATGGGTGGTTGCTAGGGTGTTGCTATGTGATTACTAAGATGTCTCTGATGGTTGTTAGGGCACTGGTGTGTATTGTGGCTGGTGTAGGATGATGAGGGTTAAACTAGAGCTGGGTCACCAGGGCTGTTACTGTGCTGTGAGTGGTTGCTAAGGTGAGCAGGGGCGTGTCATACCTGTGATTGACAGTGATCCAGTGCTGTTGGCTCGGCCGCGGTCGTTCTCTGCGAAGCAGGTGTACTTCCCCTCGTCAGACTTGGAGATGTTCAGCAGCTCTAAACTGCCGTCCAGCCAGATGGAGATCCTGCAGGTGTGGAGGAGGAGCACAGGTGAACAGGGCGGGACTGAGGACACACACACACACACACACACACACACACACACACACCTGCTGGAGTTGTGCAGGAGTTCTGTTCCTTTGCTCCAGGTGATGTTGGGTCGCGGTGCAGCTCGAGGTCTGCATTCGAACACCACCCGGCCGTTTCTGGCCCCCAGGAGTTTGGGTTTAACTGGGTTATACTGGAATGAAGGAGCGCTGGCTGAGGACACACACACACACACACACAAAGAGTCAGTGGAGCGTCTAACACACACACGCACACACACACACTCCTGCATCTACAACAGACAGAGCTCACCGAACACCCGCAGCTCAGCGTTAGCGTGAATCACACCGTGACGGTTCTCAGCCACACACTGATACATCCCAGAGTCCTCGAACCCCAGCCTGGAGAAGCGGACCTCATGACCCTTCATGTACTGATGGACACACACACACACACACACACAGTTAACAATGACACACTAACAACCGTCACACAAACCAGCCGTGACAGCGATACGACACACTGCGGCTAGATTATGATGATGGTCACCAACACACACCAACACACACACGCACACACACACACACACACACACACACACACACACACACAAGGAGAGCCGAGTACTCTCATCACAGTCAGTGTCTCTTCATCATCCTCATCATCATTATTCAGTGGTGATTTGCATGCTGTGAGCTCATTGGCTCCTGTGGGACTCATCAGGTGTTCGGGTCAGAACCATCTGTGCCAGTGTGACGTCAGCAGTGCATGATGGGAAGCACAGCCTGTAGAGTAGACTGACGCTCTTCAGAACACTCATGCACACATTCACCGCTCACACACTCACCACTCGCCCGTATTGAGGACACACACACACACACACACACACACACACACACTCACCATGTGGCCGTTCTTCAGGAAGTGCACGTGTGGTTTGGGTTTCCCACTGGCCTGACAGGACATGATGTAATCGCCCCCGATGTCCACCTCTGAACTGCTGATCTGCTCCAGCCAATCAGGAGCTCCTGACACACACACACACACACACACACACATGTGATGTAGCGCAGATAATACACACTCCTACCACACACAAAGCAGAATATATGTGCATGCATCTCAGAGTGTGTGTGTGTGTGTGTGTGTGTTTGTGCGCGCTCACCCTCCACGTAGAGGTGTGTTTTGTGCCAGTCTTTGCCCTTGGAGTTGTCGGCCTCACACTCGTACAG